CTCTTTTTTTTAGCGTACCGTGCTTTATTAAAACTTCTCATCATTTTCAAGCGACTTCCGCCATCAGGATGATGCGCCTCGCAAATGAGGGACGCGGCTGTCTTGGACAGACGAGCCATGAAATAAATTAAGAAGCTAATGAAAATATTTGCGGCTCTTAAAGGATCCGATTTATTATTTTAACGTGCGTTAGAAAAAGAAAATATTATTTTCTATCGTGCGACTTTTATCGTGTGATATTGTAACGATAAATCGAATAAAATAAAGATTATATGTGTACACATATATAGGTAGGCATGCGGGGCAAAAAGAACCGGGTCGAATATATATGTGTATGTGTGTATACGTACATGCGCGCGCGCAATGTGCACGGATGAAGTGACGCGATTGACACTATGTCCGAACGACCGAGATGCGCCAATATTGGTACGCGGGCGTCCTGGTGGAAGGACGCCACAGGTTGATGCCGAGGCATCGCTCTTTATCGGTCGGAAGATTTGATGAAACGGACACGACGTGACGCGCTGTAACAGGATTTTTTTATCACTCGATGTAGCAGGCCATGCTCTTTAAGGTCTCTATATATTTTTTTATCGGCGCATTACGAAACAGTGAGTTCGAATATTAATACTTGAAAAATTTTTTAAATTTATTTTTATGACTTTACAAATATCTTCGAAAATAAGAGTCACGCGTAATGTTATTCTAAGACACTGTGGGCACAACATTTAGCAATAATTTGTTTAATTATTAAATTAACTTATTCAATTATAGTTTTAAAAATTAACTTTTGATAATTTGATTAGTATTAAATATTTTTTTTTAGTTTCACGAGCTTTGATTTCATTCTTATTTTTCAAGAACATTTGCTCTGCAGATTAATTTAAAAACTCTATCCACATGTACAGCATGAGTTAACATAATTATATTTATTCATAATTCTTAATATAATTAATAATTAAAAATTATTTTTTATCAAAACACGTTTATAATGATATGAGAGGAAACTTATCGTTGCAAGAAATATCAAAGCAGACTTTTCTAAAGAAAATTAAATAGAACGGTTCAATTAGGATCTGTAAAAATAGCCTCCAAATATTGTCGATAAAATAAAAATTCGGAATTAAGGTCGTTTTAATTGGATAAATTTCCCAAAGCTCGATGTACTGATCGATTAAGTACAAGGCGTATGGCTCGAACAACGAATGAGCGGCGAAGAAAGAAAGAACGTAGCTTTGGATAATCAATTGGACGTAGTCGATAAATCGGTCGAGCGAATTGAAAGAGAACGAGGGATGAGAACGCTAGCAAAAATAAACTATCGCCGATTATCCGGCCCCGTCTGTAAACGCCACCCTTTTCGCGCGGCATAGGAATTCCGTGCACACGCTCTCGCATCCCCCCGCGACCGTGCCACGCCGCTCGCGCAACGCTCGTCCCTCGCCTACCCAAAACAAATTCGCGGCCATTTTTCTGTTCCGTGCCCCGCATATATATCCCGGCATTTCTCCTTCCGCGGAGGCGCGTGTTCCGCGCCGCGAAAAAGGTGCCGGGAGACGGCAGTCGGTTGGTCAGTCCGCTTTCTGGATGTCGGACCGAGGCTGGTTAACGGGATGAGGCGAGATGGGACGAGACTGGACGAGAAGAGGGCGGCGGGAAGTTAGTGGGTGGCGAGCACGGGGGGGTGTGAGTTCGTGGACGCAGCGCGGCACGGTCGGTTCCAGGGTTCGCTGGCAATTTTTTCTCCTCGAGTTTAGCAAGGGAAATGACCTACGATATATTTCTAAGGGGTTTTTGCTGGTTGGTAAGCGGGTGAGACGCCGTTATCCACCCACCGGAGAGACCACCACACATGTCCCCCTCTGGTCCTCTCCGTTGCCCCCCTCCCTTCGGGGGTTACCGGACAATTTGCATTTCTCAACCATTAATCTAACCTTCATCCAGCTCTTTTTGCCGTGAGACCGACTGCTCCTCCATCTCGCATGTCCTACCTTCCTCGCGTCCTCATCCTCTTCCTCTTCCTCGTATCTCCTCCTCCTCCTCCTCCTCTTCCTCCTCTTCCTCCTTCTCCGGATCCTGCGACCGCGAGTCACTTTCTAGCCACCACGTTTCCACTCTGTAAACTCGGCAGAATGCCTTCGGTGATCAAGGATCTATTGCGTGGATAAAGAAAATTGAATACACGACATATATCAGAAAAGACGACCGTTCTCGTCCATGCTTTCCTCGCGCGCTTCGATCGTAAAACAACAAAACTACTAGATGTTCCAATATGTATTTCATATTTTCATAGGCTGAGGATCATCAATGACTACGTTGCCGCTATAATAAATGAGATACAATGCGGGCCACAGTGCTACGTGAACAATCGTAATAAAAGATAAACGTAGCGCTCATCACTATCGCGCAATTGACTCGTGAAGAAGGGAGAGGTATGTATTTCTATCTGTGGATAGCAACGAATTTCCACGAGTAATTATCCAGCCGTCGGAACGAAGGGAAATATTTTGACAATGTTCCAATCTATCGCAAATAACGCCGTCGAATCGTAACATTTCTCGCGGATTGTAAAGTAGTTCAACCGCCGCGCGCGCACAGCGCCGACGCTTTTAAAACATTTCGCCGATGTAACGCAGCGCCGTAACATTTCATCGCGCGAATTATCCATGAAAATATTCAGCCTTTTGCCGTGAACCGTTAAATGGAATCCCAGATTTTAATAGTTGCCGTCGCGGGGCTGCGCCGACCGTGCCGCGGGGGGAGGGGGTGGCGGCGAAGGTGGAAACGGCGGCGTAGGGCGGATGGAGGCTGGAAGGGGGAAGGGGGGGAGGGAGGGGGCGCAACGAAAACGGAAGGATAGAATTTCCTATCTGCGATATGAGACCGCGGGCGGCGAGGGCAGTGATGAGGGCCAGGAAGGCGGATGCAGACGGGGGCGAGGGACCGACTGTGCGATGGTAACACGGCGCGCGGCGATGGCCATGGCGGACGGGAATCCGCGGGACGCGGGCTCGGATATCATTTTTCAGCAGTTTTACCTCGCAAGCACGTCCCAGGTATAAATGAGCTTACTATCTCCGAGCAACTCTTCCCCCACCGCGAACGAGTGAGCGAGCGAACGGACGAACGAGCGAGCGGACGGACGGACGGACGGACGGACGGATGGACGGACGACCGGCCGACCGACCGCCGCGCCGCGGCGACCCTTTTCCACCGATCTATGGTGGGTGCGGCCGCGGGAAGCGTTCGGATGTTCCGCGAGAAAGCAAAACGAGAGGGACATCCGGCAAAATGAAGCTACCTCCGCGCGAGGCGAGAATACCGCGCGCGACGTACACGCCGGGGATTTCCCGAACGCGGAAGGTACGCGGAATGTACGTGTCCGAAACGCCGTATATCGGCGTTTCCTCGATCGCCTTTCCAATGGATCGATCGATCGTGAGATCTCGATCTCACGGAGACGTGCTCGACGGAGCAGCGAAAACACGGAGGGAACACGATGTTTTACCGCACGTCGCATACGTATTAACACAGTTCTCCTTTCTCTTTACAGAGACGCAAGGAAGGAGGCGTGTTTGATGAAGATGACGACGATGTAGATGACCGGGCAAAAACGTGAACTCGCAATCGTTAAAGCGGCGGATGAATCTCGTGTCTGGCGGACGTACCGTGTGCTGAAGGGACATTGTAAATTCAGGCACGGTACTGCAAACTCCTAACCACGCACGTACGCATTCATGCACGTATGCACGCGTGCACGTCCGTTCTTTCGCGGACAGATGAAAAAGACGGGAAATGAGATGTGCCTCGAGTTTGTAGCCCTCTCCCAGAGATGACCAGTAATTTGTTAAAGGATTGACGTCTCGAAAATTGGATATTAAACGAATGTTTTTTTTCCCCCTCTTGTGCGACCCCCTCTCGCTCTTTCTCTTCTCCCGATTCCAATCGTCCTGTAGATCGCCACTTTATGTTTCCAACCGGTTATTGACTCTCCCCGAAAAGGACATCGACGATTAGCGGTCATTTTGCAATCGATCGAGTTTATTTTTTGTTTAAAAGAATCGATAATTATCATGCAAATTAATTATTATACTTGAGTGCACCGCATGCTTTCAGGGATTTAGTATCAAAATACCATCGTGCAATGTTTATGCTTATTTATATAATATATTGGTTGATGGACATGTTGTTTCATTTTATGAAATTTAATCATCGCACAAATTAATATTCCATAAAGCTTGAATTGGTTATTAGATATACAGTATTTAAGGAATGTTCCGAGATAAAGCGGAATTTAATCCGCGTAATGAGTAAATAAATATACATGACGCGCACCAACCCACGCGGATGTTTGATAAAGGCAGACGTCGATCAAACATCCCTATCCCTTTCGTAAAGCAAAGAACTCCGTGTTCCGATTCTTCCGAGTTTCGATTACGGCCATCAAACGCGATGCACGATTTATTACTAGTACACAACTAACGCGAGCTTGTCGCGTCCGGTAGTGATTAGCGACGCTATTGGTTAATCTGTCGGCGATTATGTCGAATTCATCGGTGCAACGTGCGGAATTCGCTCGACTTCCGATTTAATTATTGCTATTTACCATTTCGAATTCATGACGGGACGTTGCTACCGATCGAATCATTGCCCTTCCACTACAAACGCGAAACTCCCAATTGGAATGAAATTATGCGACGGATCATCTTACAAAGTTATTATCAATAGAAAAAGGATCTCATTATGTAACGTTAAATACGATGTAGATACAATGTCGAATGTAATATTAATTATTACTCCTTAATAAAGTTTAAAGTACAATAAAAAGTGACCTGGTTGATATTGTCTGAAAATTAACCTTCTAATATTCCCATAATTTTCATATTCAGAAGTGTGTATGAGACGTTTAACATAATATGAATATATCGGCATTCCGTCGGTCATTATCATAATTAGGATGACGATCCACTTTCTTCTCATGAATGAAGCTCATGATCGAAGAACGGTGGTGCGATAATTCGGAAAGGTGAACAGATGAGGGAGAAAAAAAAGGTGGAAGGCCGTGAGGTCCATGTAAAATGCATCGAGCGACTAGAAGAATCCTTCGTATGGCCATGTCCTTTCCCCGTGGGGGACCTTCGTTCTCCAAAATGGCGTGCCGCGCGATACGCCCGACCCTTCTCTCTACGTCGTCGCACATGGGTGGAGGCTAATTTATTCATTCGTTCCTTTTTACCCGGCGGTAACACGTACCGTACTTTCAGGGCACCCTTTGTAAAAAGGGTGGCTGGGCGGACGCTTACGGCGCATAGCAACGTGCTCCGTATTTACGTTGCCCGATTTCCCGCCTTCCCACTCCCCTGCCCCCTCCTCCACCCCCCTCCCCTCAACCACCGCACACGCCGTTACTACTTTTCCATCCCCCTTCAAACTCACCACTCGTTCCCCCTTCCGACGTTCCGTCCGGCCATCCCGGTCTCCCGCGTGGAATCCCACCCTTACGCGGTCCCTTTCAACGAGCCCTTTTTGTAAGGAGACTGATTTTTCAACGCCCTCGCTGACGCAGGGATGGTCGGGTGGGTGGATGGTCGGGTGGTTGGTGGGTGTCCGGGAATGTTTCGCCTCTCGGAGATGAAGCGACAACTACTTATTAACCTCGGCAACGAGTGGCCCACCTTCGTAGGTGAATACCTACTTTGGGGCGCGCACGTGGTCGTGGTCGGATACACCGGCCTGGATCACGCCGTATTGGTTCGCCCTCGTGACGAGGCCCGCGCGTCACTGCGTTCGATCAGCGCGTGTCAATACGCGCACGCGTTCTCCGCGATTCGAGACACGTGCGCGCCGTGATCGCTGCCGCCGTCAAGGAATGCCATCGTCGCGGATACCCATCGTTCCGATATTCCGCAATGAATGTCTTGGGTACACGCTTGTAACCGCCGAGACCGTTTACCGCCTTGACTATACATCGGTCGACTTCTTTATATACATTATGTAAAACAAAAAAATGATTTTAATATGTAGAATATCTCGCTACATTGGGTATAATAAAGTTATGCTTTAAAAGAAGATTGCAAAGTGATAATCAAAATTATCAATGCAATCGAGTTCTGGTGTCACAAATAATTCGTGCATATAAAATAATTATAATGGATAGGATATTTTTTTCCGTTTATCTCCACAATGGTCTTAATTTTTTATAGACAAGAGAACATACTATCGTAATTGTATTTAATACTTTTGAATATATTTTAAAATCTAGATACATGATTGAATATAGCTATGTATGTGTATAAAAATATCACTGGAAATATGTATATGAAAATACGAAAGCATTGAGTAATTATTGAATACGACCTCTGAGTTCTCCATATCATTCTGTTAAAATATTTACATGTAAATTATAGATATACATTATGTAATAAAGCATAGAAACATATTATTCTAAGAGAATATAAAAAAAATATCTACCAAATTGAAATTCTATCAGAACAATATGTATCATATGTATGTATGTAGTCGGTGTGTTTGTAACGTGATATAAATATAACTCTTCGTCATGTGTAGTCGGGATGTACTATTGTACATGATGTCTGTCGTATAAATCGCGTCAGTCGCATTTCGAGAATTGCTAAACAGGTACGCGCGACACAAGTTACCCTTAACGAAGAAAAGGACGAAGGTTCTGTCTGCGTTACCAGCTGCGCGATCGCCTCGCGTCTACCCCCTCGTGTGTCAAACAGCCCCCGGCCATTCCCCCGTCTTCCTCCGTTTGCTGCATTTTCTCTCCCTTTCGCGGAAGTAATAGAGTCGTCGATTGCAACGCTGCAAAAGGAAAAGCGAACGAAGATAGAGACGGGAGGTAGAGCGGGAGGGTGAGGCTGGTGTGTTCGTCGCCTCCACGTCGAGAAAAATTCCCACCACCGGAAATCGACCCTCGCGTCCCATAACAGAGAGACGAAGAGACGGAGACCCCTCGACGCTTATCATCGCGCTCGAGGATCTCCCCCTCTTTATTGCTCTCGTCCTTGCCGTCTCTTTTCGCGGCGCGCCCTTCCACACGATGGTTCTTCGAGCACGAAGAACAGGAGGAAGCGAAGAGCGGTCGTCGGAACGAGGACAGAAAAGGGACAAGCGCGAACGAAACCGAACGAGCGCGTGGAAGGGCACGAAGGGAGGCGCGAAGGAGGGACAATGAGAGGATAGTAAAATGATAGAGGAGAGAAAGCGTGTCGGAAAGAGGGATGAATGAGGGTAGAAGAGAGAAAGAGGACATCAGTTCCGGCGTCGCCCGAGCAGAGGG